CCCTACCCTTCCCTTAACTGGGGATCTCTGTTCTCTGTATTCCAGATCTACAATGGTTAAACACTGAAGGTCCTATTTCTCTACACAAAGACCTTTGTGGAAAAGTTGTGGTGTTGGATTTCTTTACTTACTGCTGCATCAATTGCTTGCACCTGCTGCCTGATCTCCATGCGTTAGAGCACCAGTACTCTGATAAAGGTAAAAGTGCTTTGGCTTGCTTGGAATAGAATTTCCTGGCAGTGTTGCAGGCGGAGTAGCTGAGTCACTTTGTTGCTGGTTACTAAACAGCTGGCAAAATTTCAGGGGTGCCTAAAAATGTCTTCTTATCTTTTAAGTAGCCTAAAACAGGTGACTGTGTATACTTTCATCACATTTTTAAATGGGGTTAAATAAGGTATCTGTTGTGTCTGTATAATTAAAGAAACAGGATATGTGCTTAAAGCCCAAATCTGATATCCTCATAAATAAGGCTATTTGCAAAAAGCTACGCAAAGGATGTAAGATATGGGCTCAAAGTTAATCTACATATGTAACCCTCTACACTTGACTTAGGAACGAACTGTGAGCAGATCATAGTAAAGGTGGTAGAACGGATATAGTTAAGATTACTTGTTTTTTTCCATTCTAGCTGAAATAACAAAATATGTAAGCTTGGTTTGGAATTTTTTTGGTATTGGCATCACCTTATATGCGACTAATATTCCTGTATTCTGGAGAGGGAATTAAGGTCTTCAGGTTTCATCTCCGATGTGAATTTATATCTCTCAGTGAATAAAAATGCAGGGTAATTACTAATTAGAATGCAGTCTCTTGTCATCATGATGACTTGTCAGAGATAAGCTGTGGTCTTACACAGAATGTATCAGCTACTCACTTATCTTGGATAATTTAATAGACTGAACAGTGAGATGAAGAACAGTGTTACTTTCAGCCCTAAAAATATTATATTAAGCATAATATACATATGTAATAAAAATAACATTATCTTATAATGCTTAAGTCTCTGAATCTCCATTGGCGTTTCTGATTGATTTTCATTTTGGCAACATTTATTTTCATGTGTTACCTACTTTCACTAGAAAAAGAAATTACAATGCCTTTGAAATTTCAAGTTCTTTAAGTAGTTCACTTCTATATTGTAGGTTTACATAGTGCTTTACAGAAGACTCTAATAAACTGATTTTTCTACCTTGAAAAGCTAGCTGCTTGCTTTGAAGAAATTCGAGATCTGGTGTAATGTTTTAGATATGAGGAACTTTATCTAATAAGGAAAAACTGTCATGGCATTTTTTGGGGGAGGGAGGTGGGTTTAAGTGGAAGATGATTAGCAAATGGTAAATGGATTGCTGTGGATATCAGGCATGCTGTGGATATCATGCTGGAAAGAAGGTCTAGATTGAGATTTCAGAAGATTACATTGATCATATAATGAATAATATCTTTAAATGATAAATATTTTGTAGTATGGTGTTACTGTATTAATATAACTGTCATATCCTTAATCTGTTTTTTAAGACGAAGCTGTTAAATCAGTTGATAACAAAAAAATAATTTTAACAACCTCTCCCCACAAGTTTTCTCTTTAAAGTATTTGAACATCTCTGTACTAGTGTAGAGGAGGCTGCAGCACTCTGAACTGAACTGGAGGTCCACTTGGAGACACTTTTCTTTGTTTGACTTGTATTAAACTTACTGTCATAGGAGTTATTACTTGAGGAAAATACTATGCTGATAGGTGATAAATTCTTTTTGCATTTGAGCTATCCTAATAAGTTCTTTTTGAATTTGAGCTGTCCTGTTCCTACAGGAACCGAAGTTAGAAAAAAGATACTTGGGGTGAAAGTGGAAAAACAAGTGGAGGTAAAAGGAAAGAAGAGCAGGTGTGTGTAGCATTAATCTTAAATTTAATGTGTTAGGAAACAGAGGATAGCAGTTGGATTCAGGAAGAGATTAAGGTGCTTGGTGTTCAAACAAAAAGAAAAATACGTTTGTTTTTTTCACTATAGATCTCCCTTTTGGTCGTTTTCTGTTGTTTTCATGTTTTGATTGTCAGCCTTTTCAAGATTATTTAATCTTTCTTTGCTGTGCTAAGTGTGTAAATTTTAGCATTACAGTAGTATAAGGCTATATATTGAAATATTTATGTATAAATATATCAAGGCAGTAAGGGTTGTGGTTTTTTAAGCCATAGAAAAATACTTCAGTAGATGGTTTTATATCAGTGTGCATCTTCTTCACCAAAGGCAAACATAATCTACTAATCACTAGGAGAAAGAGCCGAGTTGTTGACTTGAGAAACTTGAGAAAGATAAAGGTTGGAAGAATAAGACTAAATTTGAAAGGACGTCAGACCTACAAAAAAGGCTTTAAGAATGTCTAGATATATTGATGCAGGTATCTTGGTATTTGGCCTTAAGCTGGAGTTTCATTCTATTTTCATCTACTCTCTTTAGTTAATGGAAATCCCTTCTCACTTTCAGGGGATGGGGGACGGGTTCACTTTTGGTTGGGTTGGTTCCGAAATCTATCAGCTTGTTATTGCAAAAACTGATTTTGGCGCAAAAGATGAGCGACACGATTTCTTTTAGCAGCCGCAAGTCCAATTAAATATATAGTGAAACTGCAGCTTTACTATACTTTAGATTTGTAAAGACAACATTTATTTACACATTTCAGGTATATATTTATCGTGCTATAGAAGTGGCAGAGGGTGCTGACCTAGCAGACAAAATTAGTCAGAATGAAAACAACATCTTACTCTGACAAAGCATCTATCTCATAATGCATTTGGATCTTTAATCTATTGTTTGAATATTTGAAGGAATGTTGCCTATATTTTTCTGCGTAACTAAGAGCAAACCTCAATATTGATATAATTCACAGCAATATCTTTTTTTGATTGTACATTGCGTACGTATATTTTTGATACTCTGATATATCTTTTTTTAATGTGATTCAAATGCCTCTTACGTGGAGTTTATTGAAACTTCAGCAGTGTGATCATCAGACATGAGAAGTATGAGCACAAGAAGCTGTAGTTTTAGTGTGATCCTAAGCTATTATATATATATCAGTGTACATATGCACATAGTTCTATTGTCTGGAACTGCAGGAGATCTGTTTCAAAATGAAGACTGCTTTCCATAGAATTAAATGTCGCCTAGCATCTTTATCTGATATGTTCTCACTGCTATCTTCAGTGGTGCTATTTCTGTTTTTCAAGTGGCATTCAGAAAGCTATTTTAAACCCCAGTGCATATTCAGTTCATGTTATCAGAAGTCCAGAAATGACTTCTATAAGAGGGAGTACTTTTTAATATTCAGAAATAGCTTGGCATAAATCCAGTGTTGTGCTCTGGTATGATCCTTCAAATAAGTGTTTTAAATGGTGTGCATATTCATCTATCCCAGCATAGCATCCGTCAGTTTCCACGAGAGTTTTCTTCATGAAAGGATGTTATAACTTATTTGTGCTGTTCAGGTGTTCAGTATAGAATTGTCTTTCTAGCTTTAATGATATGTTTGAAGGACAAATACAGGCGCTGCTACTGATCCTATTATAGTTAAATTGTTTGACCTGCTGTTTGGAGTTCAGCAGTTAATGATACTACAGCTTCAGCTCTCTGATATCGCAACATGCTGTGCCTATAGGATTGATAAAGACTGTATCAGTTATAGTGATTTTTTTAATTCTGTATCTGTGAAATTGTTATATTCAACTAAGTCTTTTATTGTGCAGCACTTTACCCTTTCCTGTTGTCACACTGAAATATTACTGTTCCTGCCGATGCTGCTGTTCTCCATTAACACAGTTTTATGGTTGAGGAGAAGGGCTAAAAGAGAAAAATAGTTTTCCATTTCTCTGTAACTAAATAAAAAGCCAACCTGACATTAAATTAGGTTTGTGTTTTTTTTAGAAGGAAACAAACTCGCCTGAGCTCAAATAATACAACTCTTTAAGACCTGAAATAATTGCCTTTCTTACATTTCTACCACAAAACCAGAGGTGAGGGTAGAACAAAGATGTCCAGCTAGCCAGATTGCACCTCTACCGTAAAGGTAGGAGAAAAGCATAAAAGTAATACTACATTCCATTACAAACCATGTCCTTGGATGCAGTAGTTTACAGTTGTTAGTTTTAGGGCCCTGGTTCAGACCCTCTCTGATCAGAGGGCTGGTTTCACTGTTCTTGCAATGGCAAACTCCACTGACTGTAACTGCAGGACTTTTGGAGGACTGTTTTACAAAAGCGTTTTATTTTTACGTATTTGCCTGAAGTTTTACAAATAGTGAAGCCCTTTAATGGATTGGGTAGTAAATGCCAAATAACAGTAATGATCTGGTATGTAAATTTCCAGTTTAGAATTAATTGTGTGACACATAACAGCTGATGCTGAATGAAATAAAATGTGTAAGACAGATGAGTTATTGCAGAAAAAAGTATACTTCTTGTGGATTAAAAAGTTAAAATGCTAGAGTGCTAAATAAATAAAATTTTCTTTGATAAGGAGGAAGGTGCATTATGCAAGCTGCAAAAAGCTATTTTGTGTGTGGTTTTCCTTCTCAGAGAGCTAATTCTGGATTTTGCTAATTGCAATTGCAACTGAAAGAGTGAAGAGAGAAAAACTGGGGGAGAGAGGGGTATTGTTTTAGCAACTACGAGAAGCTAGAAGATGAGAAATTAGTTAGCAAGGTGATTGAAAATATTTAGGTTATGTTCTGATTAGATTTGTGATAAACTGATGAAGACTTTTCCTGTTTCAAGTTGTCTTAAAACTTCACTGAGAAGTTTAATTAATTAATTAATTAATTTTAAAAATTGTCTTTTCTAGATGCATGTCCTTTCAGGAGGGCTATTTCCATTGGCTGTTGTTTAGGATAAAGCATAACAATATTAGAGTAAGCACAAAATAACAGAACTTGCTTACTTAGACATTCACATTGCACATCTGCCTTTATAACTAAATTGTATCCTGCTTATCTAAATTTAGTAGCTGTTCAGCCAAACCTATTTTGTCTATAGTAGCACAATACATCATTTTCAATTGCAGTGAGTATTTGTACGAGCACAAATTAGTCTGGTTTAAGAACCTTATGAAGTTCTTCAAGGATCTACACTCGTCGTATTTCAGAGTATAAGCATCATCAGAATTGGATTAGATTGGATAATGGCTGTTCTTCAGCATGCCACCCTGTACAGACTCCAAGTCATCTTTGCTTTTTGGTATTACTTGTATTACTGAAAAAATACGGTACTAGAAGGAATCCACCACCTATAGACACTGGTGACTGGGGGAAGAAAGGAAATGCTACAGATACTTGAATGCTACTGATAAAAGGGTTTATAAATGTTTTTATAGACCTCATGGGGGGGAGGGGGAAGCAAGTACTTTTTTTGTTGTTGTTAAAATAATTTCTAATACTGCAGTAAAATGAACTCAAGTTGGGTGTCAACTCCAAGGATATTTTCCTTTCCCATTTAATTGCACTCCTCTCCTCAAAATAACACAAAAGATCAGATGAAAATTTAACACTTTTACTTGGACAAAGAAGTAGAAAGACCCCAGTTGATATTTGTGGTTACAAAATGCTTATGCTATCCAGAAACATGAGTGATTTTTGGATAAGTAGTAAAGTTAATGTCTAAGGATTTCCATTAGATTAACAGTTCTGGTTTAAAATTATTGTATTGCAGCTTTCTACAACTGCATGGTTACTGTTGTTATCTTCCTTACTTCAGTTAGAATTGACAAGTTACTTTGACTATAACAAGATTATGCTTATGGGTAGTAGTATTTTTTAAGTAGAAAGTGAGACGAAGTATGGTATTGATGTCACGTGCACAGTTTACTTCATTTGGTAGAGATTATGCTAGTAAAACATAATTTAAAGCCCTGAAAAAGGATGTAGTCTTTTTTGTCCCCGTCCCCCCCCGCCCCTTCTTTTTTTGCTCCTAGAAAGTATTGAAAAGTGGCTTGAATGAGGGCTTGAATGAAGGCTTTTCATTCTTTTTCTGTTGGGTAGGAAGGGGGAGTAGAATATTTGGGGCTGCTTACGTAATTGTCTACTTAGGGTGGAAATAGATTTATTTCTTACCACAAGGGAAAAGCAGCTGAAGTCTGAGCCACAGATTTTTATTTCTGTGTTTGAATTTAATAAAACTAAGAAAATAAGCAAGCAATTCAAGGAAGCTCATAATTGTGTGCTTTTGATTGGATTTAGGGTTGGTATTATGTATGCAGTGTATATAAGCAGAATTATATTACTTCATGCTTATGCAACGCCTTCATACTAGGAGTTCAAGTGCAGTTATCCCTGCTATGGGAAAACCTAAGCTCTTCATTGTCTTTATTAACCAAATATAGAAATTAAGTTAAACACTTTAAGGGGAGGTGCAAAAATCAATGATTTAATCCTCTCCCCCCCCCCCCTTTTTTTTTTTAAAAGAGTTCAAGCCTGCTTTGAACTTGTAACAAGTGCTATTTGTCATTTTGTCATAGTTGTCAGTGCTGCCATAATTATTTGAAATATAGAATACTGTATTGATTTCAGAAGACTATACATTATTTTTTTTACTGTTTGTCTAGAGTTAGATATGCCAAGGTGACTCTGGACTTTAGAGTTCAGTGTTACATTTGTGATTCCTAGTTAACTGTGGAAAAGAATTCATTTTCTAAAACACCATAGTTGTGTATAGGAATCGACAGACAATGAGGTATCATAACATCATAAACATCTGAAAAAAACCAAAGTATCAGTTGAACTGCTACAGCTTACCCGTAATTATTTTGTAAGTATTTTCTACCTTAGTATGCAGTTCAGGAAGTAAGAACAATTTATGACGTATTAAATGTCAACCAGCTGGGGAAGTAATGGTCCTAAAGTTCAGTAATTTTACTGAAATGTTCTTTCTGAGTTTCAGTATTTTGTATACATGGCTA